ACTGAGTTGAACACTTGATCCTAATTAACACAAGGAAATTCGGTTTCTGCATACAAAGTAAGGCATGGAAGATGACGTCTGAACCCTCCTTCTAGTGCCATGCTGAGTAGAGAGCAATGAGAAACTGAGGCAAACTAATAAAATAGAACCATTATAGATTTGATTCCTATGGTAATGAAGTTTTGAATCACCCAACTGTGTGAAAACGCGGCCCAGCAAAAACACTGGAAGAAAGTAAAAGGAATACAAAATTAGTGGTTCAAAAGTCATGAGTATTAAATTTGGTCACATGACAAATTTTAGACTAAAGTGGATGTTTTATTTTATGTAATCATTTCATCAATACTTTCAGTTCTTTTTCTTTTCTTTCTGACTGCTACTTCAAATGAAGAGGATTGGTGGTTCATATTTCAATTTAGATTTGAAGTAGAAGTATGTCTCAGTTCAAATCAATTGGTGCTATGGAAGCTAAAGGAACTTTGAAGGTTTCCTGTGTTGGAGATACAGTTTTATTCCTGTCTAATGTCAACAGTGTATAGTGGCAAAAAGGATTGACCGTCATGGATGTGCTGTATCTGCTCCTACAAATGCAACTCTAATCTTTTCCACATTATTCTGGACCCTAAAAAGCTGATCCCCTTGGTTGTTTCAACCAAGCAAATTGGTCCTTTAGCTGTCGGTTAGGTTCAGCCCATGGGAGAAAATAACAAAAGATCAGAGAATGAAAAAAAAAAAAAGACATTTAGGTACTAATTCATCTGTCATGTTCCCTCATGGGCCATGGATTAGAAACGGCTGTGTCCCTCTGATCAAGCCACCGACAACAGAAGGTTAGTACCTTCTGTTCTGTTACAATAATTACCATGTTCTGAAAAAGAAAAAGAACTCCTCCTTTTGCCCCTTCATAATTAGGGCAGTAAATACTTCCCACTGTTGCAAGTACTGGATACTTCACCATTTCTTTAATCTGCTAATCTTGTAAACTCTCTAAATATTCAGTTGTTCCTTTGAACCCTAATATCACTTCCTTTTAGGACAGTGACATGCAGGTGAAGATAATAATCTTTAGTGAATACTTTTTTAATGGAGAAATATCACAAGCATCCCCATTAAAGCAAATATTAAGTCAAAGTTTCTTCTCATCACAGTTATTATCTCATGTTTTACTCTGTTAAATAACATAATAATACAAGAAAGAGAAACATGATATGAAATATTAGTAAGCAGATATTAGAAAGGAAAATCGTTAAGATGATATCATCATTATTCAGCAATAATCCAAAAGAATTAATTGAATCTATCATATTAAATAAGAGAGGTCAGTAAAGTGACTGGATTGAATAAACTCATAAATATTTATTACTAACTTTCTTGAATATTGGCCATAATTATTTAGAAAATACAATATGAAAAAGACATTTTTCATTAATATATCCAAATTAAAAACATATGGAAATTCACTCAAAAAAAGTGAAAAACCTATATGACGAAAATATACATCTGATGTATTATTGAATTGTAAATGAAACCTATATTATTTTATTAACCATTGTCACCTAAATTTAAATAAATAAAAAAATAAGAAAAAGAAAAAGAAAACAGAATTGCTGTAGAATCTAAAAGACCTGAATAAATACAGATATATTTTGACCTCCTATATAGAATTATTCAACGTGATCAAGATGTGAATTCTTTTCCAAATTAATTTGACATTTAATATATTGTAAGAAAAAAGTTCATAGATTTCAAGATCTGAATTATTTTGTTACTTATGCGGTAAATAATTCTTTGAAACAGAAAATATTGTTTTGAATAAGAGTATTAAGTGGTAGTCCTCTTTTCACTTTTCAAGATCCATTTAAATGACCTAAAGTAATGGGTTATTAACTTAGAAATATTTAACCAATCAAAGGAAAATAGTCTAAAAATAGATATCCAAGTATTGGGACTTTAAATATAGTAAATATAACATAACCCATTAGGGAAGTAGGTCAATTTTTAAAAAATGTGTTGAAATGCTGTTTTAAGGCAACAGAAAGCCACATGAAAAGATTTAAATTCTTTACACATATGCAACACACACAAACACACATATTCCTGTTCTCTAAAACTTCCTACCACATACATCCATATATGTGCACTCAAAGCTTTAAATATATAAAATAAGTGAACTAAATGAAAACATTTATAAATTTTTATGTAATCTTTACTTAAACATGCAGAAACTCTGATGAATGTAATTGCTAACATTGAAATAAAGAATATAACCATCCCACACTACAAAAACACTATCTAGAAAATAATGTTAAGTTTTGTATTATAATGTATAAAATCTCTTTACATCAATAAAATATTTTGACATGCCAATTTAATTAAAGTATATTAAAAAACAATTCATAAAAGAAATATCAATGACTAAATACCTCACTGTTAACAAAGGCAATTTAAGTTACTGCTTTAAAGTGAGATATAATTTTATTTTGTAAAATACAAATATTTATAAAATGTATTTTCAGTAAGTCTGTTGAAAGAGTAACAATATTTAGGAAGAAATTTATTAAAAGATGTAAAGAACACATTTTTTATACAATTATCAAAGTTTACGAGCATTACAGACCTAAATGAATAAAGAGCTGTACTATATGCGGGGGGTGGAAGATTCAATTGTCAATAGCTTAAATGTAATTCCAATATAACAATCCCAGAAGCTTTGTTTTTTTTTAACATGACAAGCTGAACTAAAATGTACATGCAGAGAAAAGGTCCAAGGTAGTCAGATCACTTTTTATAATAACTGAGGTTGAGAGATTTGTCCCATCAAATAAGGAAATATATTATAAAGTTATATTAATGAACACGAATTTAGAAAAGAATTACTTGACAGAAACAGATAAATCAGAATTAAATTCAGACGTAAATGAACATTCAATATGTAAAAGGATGAACTATTTGGTAAATGATGCTTAGACAATGTTATCAATAATAAAACAAAAATTAAACATAACGTTTACTTAACAGTGTACACAAAAATCAGTGTTAATAGATTAAATATAAAAATTAAAAACAACATTTGAAAATGGTAAAAAATAAATGAGCAATATCCATGAAAATATGCTCAATTTCAATAGTAATTAGAACTGCAAAGTAAAGACACAATGAAGCCATACTCTTCTATTTCTTAGTTTTGCAAAAAGATCAAAAATTTGATGATATCAAATATTCGGAGGGATGTAGTGTGACAGAGCTGTTACACATGGCTCAAAGGCGTGTAACTAATAAAACACCTTGAGGAGAAGTGTAAAGTGCTGTACACAAAGTCTTTCAAGACCTCCACAGCAACATTTAGCCATATCAAAAACTGGAAGCAACTCAAATGAATGCTGACTGAGCAGATATATAAACTGTGGTACAGTCAGAAAAGGAATAATATACATCAGAGAAATGATGGGACCAGAGAAACATGCAGCATCATAAATCTTAGACAATTACCATGTAGGTAAAAGTAAGATTCAGAAAACTATGTCCTACATAGCATAATTTTAATGAAGGTAAGAAATGTCTAATGACGACAGCGAATGACATATTTTAAGTATATATACATACGTCGTTAAACTATTTTTAACTATGATTGATAACATGTTTAGCACTGACATTACTTCTGGGAAGAGATAAAGCAATGAGATCAGGGAATATAGCACTCACACAGGTAGTTTTTGTGATACTGATCATAGGTAACAGGCTACAAAAATTTTTGAATGAATTACATATGTTACTAGTATGCCAGAAAAAATTCATAATAAAATTTTTAAATAAATTTTTAAATAAAGTTCAAAATCTTTTCCACTTAGAAAACTCTTATTAAGCATAGATGTTGTTCCATATTACAATGACAGCAATTCAATATTTTTCCTAGTTTCTGTAGTTCTCGGATGGACTACAGACTGAGAAAAACCGGTGTTTTAACAAAAAATTGGAAAAAAATATTTTGTTTTACCAAAACAAACCATTAGTACCTCTGTATTAAAAGTATTTAAGTTGATTTCAACTTGTAGAGAATATGTTTCTGTGCAAAATACACATTTTCTTGCCCGTATCTTCAGTATCATGAAGACAAAATAAAAAGCTTTTACTCTTTGAAGAATGACAAAAATATACATAAATACTACTGAGCTAAAGCACAAAAATGTGTTTACAACACAGATTAGTATGATTTTCTATCCTTAATCAAGACGTAAAATCTATTTTCATCTTCAACCATCCCGTACAAGTTCACTCAAACCTGGGAATACATCCAACATTCTATCTAACGAAACTGCTCACATATAGTGTCTGTAACAAAATATGATATCATCTCCCATTTAAATATCCAGACCTGCAAATTCATGGACATTGACCTGAGAAACAGAAGTAATCTCAAAGACAAAATGCATGATGCAGCTGCAGAAAGCTGCTGTGTGGAGAGAACAATAAGTATTAAAATTTAAAACTTCTCTTGCAGCTCCAGAAATTTGTTGTAAATATTAACCAAATTGTTTTTTCATTAATTTGGGTAAAAGTGATCTTTCAAAGATGCCTTGGTTATTACTGTTAAAAAGAAACATCTCTTCCTTCTAATATCCCATTCTAATGTAAACAGAGACAAAATAAAGTTACAGAGTGAACTTAGTTTACTCTTTCTTGTAATAGGACAAAGACCTGTATGTTTCATTTATGCTCCAAAATTGTTCTGTTATATTGAATCTAACCTCAAAGGATAATGGATTCCACATTTTTATGCCTTTCTGTAATGAAGTACAGCATCACTAAAGAATCCATTGATTTAACTAAATCATCCATTGTTAGAATTTACTACCAATTTGTTGCTTCAGAATTAGGAACAAATCTGTTTAGTATGACTGACACATCCTTATTATAGCTACAGTTAACTTTTTACAAAAGAGATTTTTCATAGCATTTTTCATCTCCAAATTTCTCAGGGTGTATATTAAAGGATTCAACATGGGAGTGATAACCGTATAAAACACAGTTATAAATTTATCAATGGGGAAGTTGGAAACAGGTCTAACATACATGAAAATACAGGGAATGAAAAAGAGGACAACCACCGTGACGTGAGAACTGCATGTAGACAGGGCTTTGCGCCTCCCTTCCTGACTGTGACTTTTAAGGGACTTTAGGATGACTCTATAAGAGATTAGTAGAAGGACAAAGATGAAAA